TAAACAAACAAAAACCCTCATCTAGAGAACTCACCAAGGATAAAGTTAAATTCTTAAAATTTTTCGTTGTCAGTACTAGATGCCAAAGTATATAGAGCATTGCCTTTTAAGGTATGAGAGAGAATAATTTTTAACCTGTAACTTTCCCCCTAATCTAACCCAACTGACTCTCAAATATAAGGGTAGAATAAAGACAATTTCAGGAATTTCAGAGAGCTTGTCTTCTAGACATCTTAGAACATTACTTGACAATGTATTGTGAAAAAAACAATGGTTGGTAAAAAAGAAAAAAAGAAAGAAAAGGAAAACAGGGGATCCGGGCAATGTTAACACTCTAGGAGAGCAGGGAAGGAAAATCCCAGGATGACAGCTATGCATTGGCCCAGGCCCATGGAGCAAGCCTGCCAAATGGAGCAGGAGGGTGGAAGATTGAGGGAAGGAGGTTTCCTTAGAACACACACACACACAGCAAAACACTGTGACAAGGTGGAGAGCTTAATTTGTTTAGGAGAGACATATCTCCAGGGGGATGGGGAGAGATTACTATGAGCAAAATTCAGTTTTGTTTTATAAGCTCATACATGTTAAAGCATAGATGAACCATGAAAACATGCTAAGAGAAAGAAGGCAGTCATCAAAGACCACATATGGTATGATTTCATTTATATGAAGTGTCGAGACTAGGCAAATCGATAAGAGACAGAAAGCAGATTAGTGGTTGCCAAATGTGGAGAGGGAAGGAGTGGAGTGTGTATGCATTTTGGCGGGGGAGGGAGGTGATGAGAGTGATGGTTAAGGGGTGCAGGGTTTTATGGGGGCAACAAAAATGTTCTAACACTGATTGTGGTGGTGGAATCACAACTATGTGAATATGATAAAATCATTGAACTGTACACTTTAAATGGGTGAATTGTATGGTATTTAAATTATATCTAAATAAAGCTGTTTTAAAAAGCTCATGAAGAGTAACTGGAAGCTCCTCAAGGCGAAACAAATGCTGTTATCTTGCCAGCTTAGGGCAATATTTACAAAAGGCTGTCTGCCATACCCTGTCTTCTAGTTCTCTAGCCTAGATAGAGTTTCTATCAGCCATTTTCCTATGATTGCACAAAGAAGCTCTGCCCCTTGGCTGAACGCTTTCGTCTCACACCTGGCCTTTTTACCCTAATTGGTCTTTAGTGCATTGTCCCATCCCCCCACAGATCACACTGGCTCCACCATCCTTACCCTCGTTTTTTTGCCAGTCCCAACACTGTCTGCCCTCCTCCTGCTTCAGTCTGCCAGGCAACTTCTAGCACATCTTGAAATTAGCCTCCCTGCTGATAAACCCATGCTAATAAACCCCTTTTACAAAATAATGTCCACCATTCTCAACACAAGTGAGGCTGGGAGACCACCTGCCAGAGATGCTGGAGAGAGGGGTACTTGCACTGGGAGGGAGATTACATTAGAATGACCAGTGCTTCTCAAAGTTTAACGTTTGCATGAGTCAATGGAATCAACTGGGGATCTGATTAAAATGCAGATATTGATTTAGAAGCTCTGGGACCTGAGGTTGTGCGTGTCTAACAAGCTCCCAGGTGATGGGCCAGCTGCTGGTCCTGGGACCCCACTATGAGCATCAAGGAGATAGATCATCTCTGAGATCTGTTTCAGCTTTGACATTCCATCTTATGTGTATACCTGAGCAAACTAATAGGAATCCCAGGTATACCTCATCTGACACTGCTAATGCAGCTTGGAAACACCAGTTCTCTCTAAATGTCCTGGAGGCTCAAGTTATCAGGTAACTGAAAGAAAAGTGGCTTCTGTTTTATGTAGGATAACACTGCTATCATAAAAAGTATATCAACCAAATACAGAATGTAAAATACAACCAAAATACTATTGAATCTTCTCTATCCCATGGAAGTTGGTTAATTTCTGGGGAATGTTTTTATTTGAGTCATATTTAAATGCCATTTGGAAATGGATGATATATAAAATCATTTTCATGAATGGTGTAGAGGCTTGATCACTGCACTGTACACCTGAAGCTGATGTATAATATTGTATGTCAACTATAATTGAATATATATAGTCACGGGATGCAGAGTATAGTGTGGGAGTGGAGTCAAGGGAATTGTAATAGATATGTATGATATTGGGGGGAAGTGGGGTGGTGGATTGGGGGAGGGGGGTTGTCACTTCAAGGGGTAAACAGTATAACTATTGCACTGTGTTGTACAGCTGAAACTAATTCTAAAACATGTGTATTTCATAATAAAAAATAATAAAAAATAAGAATCTCCAGAGGGCTTTCTGAACGCCATCTCTGTGTTTCATGCAGGCTTAGGCTAGGAACTGGTGGGGTGAGCAGTGAGGAACGGACACGCTGAAATATTTGAGTTCTATGATCGGGATCATTAACTTTTAGCACAATCTGTAGTTTCCCTTAGTTTAGACTCTCCACACCAAGTATGTGGAACCATGGGACTATCATACTGACTTGGGAGAACACCAATCAGGAAAAATGGCAGGCTGGGAAGCAAATTTTAAAAGGAGATCTAGAGACTGTCAGAATTAAATGTGGTGATTTGCTTCTACTCAACTCCACTAACTAAATTTCACCTGTCTCCACTTTCTTTACCCACTCTCAGGTACCTTCAAAGAATCAAGCTCACCTCATCTCCTTTAACTGAATTTTGCCTAACCCCCAGTTCAACCAGAGTCTTTCTCATTACATTAAAGGAAGTGAAATTAGGTAAATAGCTGTAACACTTATCATGTAGGACCATTGGAAAACACTAAGGTCAATACCAGTAGAGTGAATAAATAGCCCTCTAAAGAACTGTAAAAAAAATGAAATTTATAAACTCATTACCTTGATAATAAAGTTATAGTTGACTTTTGGCTGAAAGTGTGCCACCACGAAGGGAGATGTGCCCCTTTAGATGGATTTGGGCAATGCCGAGTTCTTGGGCACCTGCAGCTGGCTTCCACCCCCGTCAGCAGCTGGGAAGAGACCGATGATGGGCCAAGACTCTTCCCTGCTGCTTATGACCCTGTGGTATGACCCCAGAGTTTGTTGGGTCACGATGCCTGAAACTATAGCAACCAAAGCAAAGGTGTGGCAGGCTGGCAAACTCAGTGGCCCTTCACATCAAAATATTACTTACCTTATTTATATTACTGAGTATTTTGGTGCCCCCTGAAATTTTGTCCACAAGTCAAGTGCCTTTCTCACCTCACCTCAGCCTAGTCCTGGCCCTCCAGTAACCTCCCAGATAGAGTTCTGCTCGCAACTTTCTTTTGAAATGAAGGTCTGATGTTCAGAGAAAATAAAACTGTCAGAGATATCAAACCAATGACACCGACTGCCAGGAGATAGATAATCATGATTTCCTCCTCCTTCTGTTCCTGTCTTCCCTTTCCTGTGACATGTGGGGGTCTCAGCTCAGCAGAAGTCCTTGTCCATTTCCAACTGTTGGCATTGAGCAAGGCCACATGGCTAATAGGATGTCTGGGATCATGACTCCATTTGGAGAGGTGAAAAGTCCAGGGTCTCACCCTCCAGGGATACACCCCAAGGACTGGTGAGCTGCTCCAGATCCTTGTCAGGGTCCTTTGTGGCCCAAAGCATATCTTTCTCTGCTGGAATCTGTCAGTTGGCTCTGGCAAAAATCAAGTTTCCCACCCTGATTTTACCTCATTCATCCACATAGAGGATTCCCTAGGATAGGATGGAACAGAAACTCTTAGAATCCTCAAATGTCAGAACTGGAAGGGCCCTTAGAGACAATTTTGCCCCAACCCCCTCATTTAATAGCACATATAGCTTTCTGTGCTCTATTTCCATGGTCTAAGGAATCCCTAAGGCCACCTCATAATAAAAATCAGGAAACAAGTCAAGAGCCGAGTTAATCAAGGAAGTAAACTACTATGGGTCCCAGCTGTGCTCAGGGAGTATTGGGTCATCAGTAATGCAGCCCTGGTCCTGGGGTTTGTTTATTAAGGATTTTCTTCAAGGACAAAGACAAGGATCTGTGGTTGCGCAACTCCAAAGCTTTTCAGGTAGGGTGTGACTGGAAAAGTTTTGATTAGCTTTCCTCTGGGGTAGGGAGTTTTAAAGTTCTGCCTTTCCATTGTGAAAAAGCAGGCAAAGTTTGCCTCCATGCCTTTAACCTGCTCCCAAAAGTGCCTCAGCCTAGAGCACTTGCAATGGTTAAGATAGGCTTTGAGGGTTGAAAGCACTGTATTGATCTGATCTGCAATGAATTATAACATTGTGTTTGACTTCTGAGAAGCATGCAGCAAATCTAGGAACTTTGTGCTAGTCGCAAAGGAAACTGGGATTCACTTAGATTGGCCATGAGGAATTTACCATTCTGTAGTGTTCTTCTTGGAAAATTTTTCTCTCAGACTGATGGAAGACAAGGAAATCTCATCAATTGAAGGAAATAGTGTATAAGGAAGCTCTATTCACAGGTGGGGGGAGGATCAGATCCCATTGTAGATCTGGATGGTAAATACTAAATAGCCATGTGCAGTGAACAGTGAGGGTGTGTGTGTGTGGCAAGGTTGGTGGAGGGTTACAATATCCATAGGTAATATTCTTACATCAGTTTGTTTTTGTGCAATCTAGCCCATTTTCAAACTCTTAACAGAGACCAAGAAAGCTGAATCCTTGGGATTAGAAAGGAGATTATAAAGTTATGTGTGCAATTCCGGCAGCAACATGGAGTCCACAGATGGCAAAACTCTAAAATAGATTGTGCAATCAGATTATTTGGACAAAATTTCTTAGAGATTTGTACATGGTTACATCGTTGTGTCTTGGGTGCTCAGAAAATAACCCAGCATTAGAGACATCTGGACACAAGTCCAACACTGTATCACCAGTCCTTGAAATTGGGCCCATTCCCTTCTTTTGCCTTAGGTCAATGTGATCAAGAAAACAATGACATTTTTTTATGTTGCTGCCCAGCTTATTGGACACCCTTTATTTTACACAACGCAACTGCTTTGATGTACTGGGAAATACAATCGTGTAGCATGTTGTTCAACAGACTAACGGAGGGGGTGCCCAGCTGCAATGGAATGTTACTAGGGGTGGGGGAGTAACTGGAGAGGCGTCAGAAGCGTTGTTAGTTCACAGGTTAGTGAGAAGCCAGTCTAGCAGTTGTTTTCTAGGCATGTTGCCCACGGCTTCATCCAGTTGTCGTTCCTTGGCAAACTTCATGACCTCTTGAAGGAGATCTCCTACACTGTACCCCTTCTCTGCTGCCTTAGCTGAAACTTCAGGAAGCTGTGGAGAGCGCAGAAATCGTTTAAGTCAGGTGATGCTTTTGGAGAAGAGATCCAGATGGATAAAGTAAACTACCCACCAACCCACATTTCCACGCATGATTCTAAGGTTAGAGTAAAACCTGCCACAAATCCAGGACTGACTTTTCTTTTTCCTTGACCCTCCTCTAATGACATAGCTAAAAATGACAAAGGTACTTTCTTTACAGCTTCAAAAAACAAACTTTAGAATCAATTGTGTTCACTAAATATTTTCACCAGGTGCTGGGTCCTTCAATTCGTCTGTGCTGATTTGCTAAATCAAGGTCAGGGGTTGCCATTCTCTAACCGCTCTTTAAAAAGTATGAGATTGGAAGTAGGGAAGATCAGCTGGGCTCAGGTCCTGGACTGAAAATAATTTGGTTTAGCATTTTATTTCTCTAGAATCCATCAAATGTAGGAAATGAAGCTGTGTGTGTGTGTGAAAGAGAGAGAGACAGAGAGAGAACTCACATGTGTATGAATGTTATCTTCATGGGACTGAGGAGCAGGGCCAAGACTAAGGTGTGGCAAGTTGGGTGCCTAGGGCCCAAAAATAAAAGAAAAAACTCTCGGGGCACACAATTGTAGAACCTGTGAGTTTGGGGAGGAACTCCCTTTTTCTTTTATTCTCTCTCCAGTCCTTGGAGGGCCTTCAAGCTCAAAACATAAGACTTAAAAATTGCTCCCCAATGTTTTACCAAACAGTTTTACCAAAGGATCACGATAAACAGAGCTATTTTTACTCTCCTTCTCTTGGCTGAAATGTGCAGACCTTGAAGTGCCCAGAGCC